GTATCATAGCTTATTCTGACTAATAGAGAAAGATTTGGAGAACTGACCAGACACTTCCCATATTATACTTATTTCCTTGTAAACATTCTAATTATGTTTTCATGGGTGTGTTTTATTGCTTGTATATAACTGACATTTTTAATTGCTCTTGTTAATCAATTCTCCTCTGCCCCTAACCAATAGTCTTATAGCAAATAATAACAACTTCACGGAGCTAATGTAACAAATAAATAGCAGACTAGACATGATATCACTAATATGTGGAATCTAATAAACTGACAAACAAAATAGCAAAATAGAACCAGAGTCATGGATACTAATGTCAGAGGGAAGGGAATGGGGGCTACTGGATAAAAGATGGTGAAGAACATATATGCATAGCCCATGGACAGACAACAAAGTGGTGAAGGCCAGGGGAGGGGGAAGCAGGGGCTGGGTGGAGGTGGGCAAAGGGGGATAAATGGAAGATATCTTTAATAATGTCAATAATAAGCAACAATAAATAAATAACAGACTAGATAATCAAAACTTATTCCACTCTCTCCCTTCTTTGTCTTCTTTCTATCTTTTCTTCCTTGCTTGCTACCTTCCTTCCTTCCCTACTTCTCTCTTCCCTTTCTTTCTCATCCATTTCTCTTCCTCTATTCTTACCACCCTCTTTACACAATGGCTGCTCAATAACTACTGATTACCTGTTATTTGATTAAAATAACCCCCAAAGTGCTAAATACTGTCCTTCTTCTCATCTTCCCCCTTCTCTTCTTTTCCTCTCTTCTCCCACCGAGATCTCTAATCTGGTCCAGGCTAATTCTCTTTGTTCTTTTTTCTCCTTTGGTGTGGTCCAGAGATTCAGTCTGACAGTTTTAGGTAGATGTTGGGAGTAGGGCTTCCACTTCTCTGAGGCCCCTTTTGGCTTCTAGACTGTATAGTGGGACCCCATTTCTCCAACCCTCCTTATACCTAGTGCATGCAAGTCCCTTTTCTAGAAAACTTCTATTATTACCATAATCAGAAACAGCCAGGGGATCACAAAAACCTTTGTCAAGAGAAAATCACAGAGCTTAAGAAATCTTACAGGTCTTTAGGCTCATGGTGCCTGAAGTCCTGCTTCCCTCTCTGAAGTGGTAACTGGACCAAAGGAACGCGATTTTAAATTGCACTGAAAAGGATAAAAGATAAGCAAGTCTTGAGCTAGCAACCCTACTAACATTGCATGGCAAGGACTGCATATGAGCACCTGTATTGGGCGACAGAGCTCCCCTACTTATTTACATGACTCTGGCCATGGCTCCTGAGATCCTCCTTTATCCTGAAATTTGCCCAGTTCCAACCCTTTGACTCTGTCTCTAGTTTTCAGCCCTAGACTCAGCTGTGGTTTCTATCAGCCATGGTGCTTCCTCTACTTATCTTTCAAAGTCCTCTGATGTCTGTGCTTGGACATCTCCTCTGGCTCCATTTATTTAGGCTGATCCTCAGAGACCCACCTTAACTCTGACTCCAGTAGACCAGCCCAAGGAGAAAGTGTGAACATATGAAGAACCTACAAATAAATACCTTTTAAAAGTGGACAAGATGAAGTGTTTAGTGCAAAAGGTATGCTGCTGCCTACTAGCACCTGCTCATGAAAGCCAGTTAAGTTTTCAGGAATTTTGCAAGTCAGTTGTTTAACATAGCCATTATTAAAAATTAAGTTGGTTAGCCCTTGTTGGGTGGTTCAGTTAGTTGGAGTGTCAACTCGTACACCAAAAGGTTGTGGGTTTGATTCCCAGAAAGGGAATATAACTAGATTGTGGATTAATGATTGAAATCAGGCCAAGTGTGACCACCAATGCTGATTGGGAGGACCTGCATTTGAGCTACCAGGGATCTAATCTGTCATTCCTGGTAGACACGAGCCAAGATGTTTGTAGTCCAGAGGACACTGGTAGCCATCTTGGAAACACAAATGAAAGAGATGCCCAAGAATGAATATAAGCTGAGAAAGTAGAACCAAAAATGGTGATACGTAACAGAGGGTTCGTATCTTTACATGAGGAAAGTGCAGGAAAAAGTAAATACTCTTATCCTGATCATGTGTGTGTGTATATATACACATATATCCAACCAGAGAGCAAGCTGTCTGTAGACTGAAATTTTTTATTGCACCTTTTTGTATCTGTAGCTAACTTAACACTGCACCCTGTAGGTAGTGGAGGACAAGCAATAGTAAGTGCTTACTAGACATGTGCTTAATAGAATTGGCTAGTAATTCCAGGGAAGATTGTGTAGGAAGTGGAGTGAATCGGAGTCAAGCCCTCTTCCCTTCTTTGCCAAGCAGCCGATTTGAATCCATCTGTCATCATCTGTGAATGCCCCAGGGAAAAGGAATGAAGCCATGTGGTTCTTGAGTCCAAAAATTCAGTTTCTCACCCAGAGGAGGTTGTAGTTTTCTGCTGGACTATAGGTATGCCCTGCTTTTCCAAAGGTCACCTTGCACCACTTCGCTTTTACGAAAGATCTACCTACATTGGTACTTACTTTTACTAACCAAAAAAAAATCTGAAGAATATTTGTGCTTTAAAAAAAAAGGCAAAAAGTGAAAATAGTGTTCAATGTTTGTTTTGCAGCAAACCGGTTAGAGGGGCAGTGCACACTTGTAACTGCACCATACATGCATTATTTCTAGTTTATATAGGCTGTGTAGCATATCATTCCTGCTCCTACTCTATGTTGACGTTATTTTAAGTGTCATGTATTATTTGGTATGATTGGTTTGATTATTATTTGGGTGTGGGAATGCTCCTCAGTTTTTCTTGTATAAATTAATGGTAATTGCTTTATGCCATTTTGGATAACAAAAGGTTTCATAGGAACACTGTACTTTCAGATAGTGGGGCAAACCTGCACAGTTCAAATAAGCCATAGCCTTTCAGTAAGCATCAACACTAAGAAGATTCCTTTGGTCTATGTTTTCATGATGCCAAATATGTGGATAACAATTAAAGTGTGCAGTTAAGTGCTCACTTTGGCAGCACATATATTAAAATTGGAATACAGAGAAGATTAGTTTGGCCCCTGTGCAAATTCATGAAACATTCCATATTTTTTAATATGCTGTCTGGAGTCAAATTACCTGGGTCTGAAACTAGCTATTTAACCTATCTGTTTATTCATCTGTAAAATGGGGATAATATATGTAAAATAGATATAAAAATATATTTAAAACATATTATAGGTTGTTGGGAAATAAATTGGTTAACACTGAAAAAAATATGTAGTTAATATATCTCAAAAATCTATGCATGTGACACCACATTAACAAAATATCCAATTACTTAAGCAGACTTCTCATGTCTATCCAGGAGTCTGGCCCCATGTCAGTGAAAGTGATGGCAATACATGTGACAGTCCCAAAGCTGTATAGACTGTGACTCTGAATGATACCAGCCACCTACGACTTGGAGAGGGAGATAACTATAAACACAGGCAAATCATGTGAGTGTTTGTTATATTTTAAGTTGAAAGAGGAAATAACCATGTTAGGAATGCTGCCTCTTGCTTTCCCATCCCTTTCTTGTCTTTCCTCTGCAACTCCATTGCTACCCAACATACAATATGTCTTATTTGTATTAATCTAATCCTTTCTCCATTTCCCAGAACATAAGCTCCAGGAGGGCAAGGATTTGTCTCTACTTCTGTTCATTGCTCTAATCACAATACCTTAATAGACTATGGTATATAGTAAACTAGAGGCCCGATGCACGAAAATCGTACATTCAGGGGGGCTTCCTCCGCCCACCCTGCACCCTCTCACAGGAGAGCCCTTGGGGGATGTCCGACTGACGGATGTCCAGGAGCTGTCAGTCGGACATCCTTAGCACTGCCACTGAGGCAGGAGAGGCTCCTACCACTGCCGCTGCTCCCGCCAGCCATGAGCCCCACTTCTGGCTGAGCGGCGCTCCCCTGTGGGAGTGCACTGACCACCAGGGGGCAGCTCCTGCATTGAGCGTCTGCCTCCTGGTGGTCAGTGCACGTCATAGCAACCGGTCATTCTGCCTTTTGGTCAATTTGCATATTAGCCTTTTATTATATAGGATGCTCAGTAAACGTTGGTTAAACAAATGAGATGTCCTGAAGGATAGTTATTTGCTAATCAATTAATAAACCAGAAATTATAATGGCTGGGTTAAAAAAAATACCTTTTTTTCCCCTGAATTAAGTTAAAAGACCCTGTGACTTAGTGAGTGCTGTCTCAACTACAATCTTAACTACAATATAGCTTTATGACTATAATCAATTTGCTTAACATAATGCCCCTTTGTTTCTCCATCTGGAAAATGGGGAAACAGTGCCAGCCCTTTATTCTTCAAAAACTTTTAACTATCCTCAAAGAGATAATAGCTATAAAGGTGTCAAGTTAAAGATACAATGCAGGAGCTTAGCATGGATGGTTTTCCATAAAATTAAACAATTATCTCAGTTGTCCATTTACTTACTAAACCAGTAAAACTCCATTTCAGCTTTTATTCTTATGTATACTTATAAACATAAATTCATCAGTTTTCTATTTCCTATTTCATCCAAAGTATTGTTATTATAAATTTTAACTAACCATTTTCAAGTCAAACTGCCACTTTCTATACTTCAAATCTGCCTTCATCGTCACAACCTTTTTAATGATAGACATACTCATCGAATCCACTCTAACTGATCCTTATGAAAAATGTGAAATGTCATTTCTCCAGGGTAACCATCCTTCGTCCTCCCCACATATTAATAGCAAACCAGTCTTTCTGGGGTGGGACTTCCAGTCATCCTGTCCCCAGGTTCTCCTTTAAGCCGAAGTCTGGTTTTTTTAGGGTCTCCCTTCCAGTCTTGAAAAAGAGACCCTGTACCTTTAATAACAGAGACCTGGTGAGAGGTTTCTTTCCAAACTTGTTCCCTGGCTTCCAAGTGACGAAACCAGCTGTAATTTGAGAGCAGAGAGATCCTCAGGATATCATTAGCCAAAGGAAAAGCTCGGCATTCCCACCCAGCCCAGGAGTTGAAATAGCACCAGAGGGCCAGAGCCAGCCTTTCTCTCCAGCTCCAGGCTCCAGCTCCCAGCAGCAGGGGAAACTCTGGGAGAGAGCTCCGAGCAGCAGATCCTGTCCTGCCAAACCCTGAGACCCGCAGGGGGAAGAGCCTGCTGAGTTGCAGCCGCCCAGCAGCACGTAGCGCGGGAACACAGAGCCCTGTGCATCCTGCGCTGCTGTCCCTGCTGCCCAGGCGCTGGGGCCACAGCCCCATGAAGCCTGCTGGAGAGGGGGCACCAGGGAGCAGCAAGCCAGCGGGGCCTGAGGCTGACGCTGTCTCGGGGAGGCGGCCCTGACTCCCAAGGGGACCCCCTTCCTCGTGTCCCAGCGCAAAGTCTTCTCCAGGGGTCCCCTGTCCTCCTGCAGCCACAAGATGGCCTTCCTGAAGCTGCTCTGGCTGGGTCTCTTCTGCCACCTGTGTCAGGGCTACTTCGATGGCCCCCTCTACCCGGAGATGTCCAATGGGACGCTGCACCACTACTTCGTGCCCGACGGGGACTACGAGGAGAACGATGACCCCGAGAAGTGCCAGCTGCTCTTCAGGGTGAGTGACCACAGGCGCTGCTCCCAGGGGGAGGGCAGCCAGGCCAGCCGGCTGCTGAGCCTCACCCTGCGGGAGCAATTCACGGTGCTGGGCCGCCAGGTGGAGGACGCGGGGCGGGTGCTGGAGGGCATCAGCAAGAGCATCTCCTACGACCTGGACGGGGAAGAGAGCTACGGCAAGTACCTGCGCCGGGAGTCCCACCAGATCGGGGATGCCTACTCCAACTCGGACAAGTCCCTCACGGAGCTGGAGAGCAAGTTCAAGCAGGGCCAGGAGCAGGACAGCCGGCAGGAGAGCAGGCTCAACGAGGACTTCCTGGGGATGCTGGTCCACACCAAGTCCCTGCTGAAGGAAACGCTGGACATTTCCGCGGGGCTCCGGGACCGATACGAGCTGCTGGCCCTCACCATCCGGAGCCATGGGACCCGGCTAGGCCGGCTGAAAAACGATTATCTTAAGGTGTAGGTGATGGGGCGTCCTGCAAGCAGAGGGGACCGTGTCTGCCCTGCCGTGGAGGGAGGGGGACAGAAGACAGGGCTAACATTCCCCATAAAGTTCGTTTTTCTATCCAGATTTGCACTTGGAGAGTGATCTGAAGTCATGTTTGAAAAGGAAAGAAGTGGGTTTGGTTTCTGTACATTATTTATGAGACTGCATTGACTCGCCACCTGCAAAGACCGTGCTAAGCCATGCCTCCCACCTTTCCTCAGAGGCTGGGTAACTGCAGAGACACCTGTTCCAGCCACCTCGAAAAGGACACCCTTTACACAGTGTTGAGTTTCCCCATCGTAGAGATTTGCTGCAAATACCCAGACGGCAGAGTGCTCGCTCCTTCCCCCTCGCAGCCTTCTCTCCTGGGCGCTGGAAGCTGTCAGTGCTGCCTGTGTTTCGGAGGAGGCCCAAGCACTGCTCTGCATGCCTCCGGGCAGGATGGAAGCTGCCTGCTTCCTCTTCACTTTTTCTCTCTTATTTATTACCATTGTCTCTAAGGTTTTGTTTTAAGGTTTGTTTGTTTTTTTGTTTTGTTTTGTTTGTGTTTTGGTAAGAGTATTGGCTAGAAACTATATGCAAATCATTCTTTGCAGGGAGATGTCCGAGTGCCTGTGTGTGTAAATCAAAGCGGCCACCTTTAAGAAGTCTAAGGTTGGTGGTGGTTGGGCACTCACGTCGATATGTTGATTTGCTATGTCTCTCACTGTATGTCTGTGTCATCAGTGCTCCGGTCCATTAGGAAGAAGTAGCTTGTTTGCTTGAACACACCCCCAAATGCCTTATGAGTGAGGTTATCAATATATTCTTTCTCACTTAGGGGTCTTGCTTCTGTTTGCTTATTGGAGACTTGTACTTCAGGTAGGGGGAATTCTAATAACTCCTTCACCAAGTTTTATTATTCAGACAATAAATATGTTCTTGTGTAACGCTGGCTTATTTTCTAATTTCTATGTGTAACTTTCACATTGCCAAGAGGGGCCAAAGCAAAAGGAAAGAGAAGGATGGGACGTAAGCCAGTTTACTTAGAGTGTATATGAAAGGCAGAGGGATAGCTACGTACCTGGCACTCCTTCCTTCCCTGGCCACCCTTATGATCCTCAAAAGGAAAAAAAATCTAGGCCATGTCAGAACTTGATCTCTGTCTGCTGGTCTGCCTAAAAACTCTAGTGTTCTCCAGTTTTTCCCATAGAATCAACTGGAAAACTTTAGGCCAGGGCTCATACCTTATATGCCCTCAGAATGCAGAGGGAGTGTTCCATTCAAAGCTATAGGAACTACAATGGTGTTTAGTCATTCTGAAGCCATGTCTATGTTGTTTAATTCATACTTTAAAAGGATGGAAATGCACTTTATTTCATATCTTTCCCTGGCCAGTTCTCATCCTCACTTAAATTTGCTTTCTTTTCACACATACACACAGAGGGAAATAAATAAATGTTCATAACCTACTCTTCAACAGTGAGCCATTTTTGTCTCTTAATGCACAAGGAATCCAGTTTTCAATTCCTATGAATTGTCAAATATCCTCCTGCTAAGTAGGGGAAACTGAGGCTCAGAAAATGATTGATCCTCAGCTAGTTGTAACTGTTCCAGGTGTCTTACATTTGAGTATAGGACTTTCCCATAGTGCTCTTTTCAAGGATGCTGAGAGATGAGAGGAGTGGCATAAGGCCTGAGGCTTTGGATAATTATTTTATTGTTTAAAATAAAAAACACATGGAATACTATTTAAACTAATCATTTGTAATTTCCTCATCCAGAAGCCTGTTTTTAGCTGCCTCTAGACTGGTGTGTAGTAAGAAGGTAAATGATCATTTAAAAGCATTATTCTTTATCCTATGAAAGATGAGGGAAATAACAGCAGAGGCAAAGGAGATGATATTTGTACTGAGATGATTGTAGTTTGTAGTCACAAGCTATTTCAAAGCTTTCATATCATTCACTCCACAGTGCTCAAGTCTAATCCATGGGCATATTAAATGTCATCTCCTCAATTTTCCCAACTGTAATAGAAGGACATTAGAAACGTGACATGGATGGAAAACTGGTTTTCTCACACATGCTAATTTGAATCAATTGGTAATGGTTGTGTTCAGTACTACGTTGAGAACAATTTAAAAGACACAGATGTAAAGAGTGCTATCCCCCATCAGCGATGTCCTCCATGAGTGCAGGGTGGGGCGGGGTGGCACATCTGCTACAAATTTAAAAACCCTGAAATAGATCAGGGATGAGGCTCTTTCCAGTACTAACATTCTATGATTTCTACAAAACCAGAATGAAATGATCTGACATTGAATCATCCATTCAAAGCTAGAAGAACAGCCAGCAATCCCACAGTCTTATATAAATGGCCCCAGAGGCCAAATGGGAATTTCCAGGTGGGGAGAGGGAGCCATCTCGGATGGCTAACCCAGAGGCGAGCATCACAAGGTTTTTCCAAATCCTCTGATGGCTGGGAGATAGCACCACAGATTTTTTTCCTCCCTGCTTCCCAGTTTTTCTTATTAGGACTTTAATACTCACACGGTGACAAATTCTTTGTTCAAAGTAGTGGTTCATTAGTTCTTAGACCGTGAAATATTTTGAGAATCTGATGAAAACTACATACTGCTTTCTCTCCTGAAATATCTACTTACAAACACATCCATACAATTTGGGATATGTGTTGTTTTTATACATATTTGTCAATGACTTAATATTTGTCAGGCACTGAGTTAGGCTGTGGGTAATTCTGGGATATGACAAAGCCTTGGGACTTCATCTAACCAAAAACTTTTAAAGCCTCTTAGAGTTTTATTTGGAGAAAGATGCATTTATTATTTTTTAAATAACAATGAAATAGCTAACCTTTTGGAAACTCATATTTTTTATCAGGCCCCATGCTAAGAACTTTACCTGAGTTATTTCCCTCAGTCCTAACAACAAACAGTCTGAGGGGAGCATTTTATAAAAGGAATTGGCACATGCCAAACGCTTAGAATAGTATCTGACAGACTGAATCCTCTATAATTGCTACTTGTTAGTACTGTCATTATCATTATCATTATTTTTATAACTTAGGCCCAGATATTCTAGGTAATATCCCCAAGGTTAAACTGTGTGTTGTCATATATACGTTACTATGTTCTCACATTTTAAATGAATGAGTATCTAGTGAGATAGATAATCAAACAAAAGAAGAATGCAAAGGGTAGGGGTCCCGTGAGGCTGCCAGCTGTCCACTCCAAGCGTGGTCCCCTGTAGGCCAGTCAGCCTACCTCCTCCTGCAGTTTAGATGTCAGACTGGTGTCAGTCAGAAGCTGAGTGGCTCCTCTGTTTACAGAATTCCTCAATACTTTCTCTGTATGATTCATTGTTTAATACCACTAATCTTTACGCTCCCAGTCTGACCATGTGAAACTTCCCCATGCCTACTTTGAAGCATTTCTACTTTGAAGATAGAGATCTGTCTATCTACAGTCTGTGGATGAAGAACACCAGGCCACCTTAGCCTCTGCAGCACCCACAGCCATGCTCATAGAAGCCAGCAGAAGCCGACAGATGTAGGTGTGTTACAAACATTAGCACCGAAAGACTAATCCATGGTTCACATACTTTTCAATGTCTTTTAAACTCTCCTTTATAACTCTACTAAGGAAACTGGCTCAAAATTTTCTGAGAAAAATCTAAAACTTAGATGATAAACTGTTTTAACAAATAACAAAAATGCCCATGAAAATCACTTAAAGATATGAAATCAACCAAAAGGGTAGTATGGTCGAATTTCCTTAGGGCATTTTTCAGAGGCTGATTATAAAAATCTTCTTGACACGGAATACTTGAATATGAAATACAAGTGCTAAATGTGGTTTATACATGTTTTCATGTAAAAGAAAAAAACAACATAAGTCTTGGTTAGAAATAAAATACAGACATGCATAACAATTCACTAAGTATAGAGAATGAGATCCTGTGACTTATCTTAGTAATTTTGGAATTAGGGTGGTCCTTAGGAATCCTGTTTCATGAGTCAGAATCCCAATGGCTCTGTCATCCATCAAACATTTTCAAAGTGCCCCCATATGAGGTACCCAGGATAGAAACAGTATGTAGACATGTGGAAACTGACACTTAAACACAGAATTAGAGTGTGGCAGCATGGGGTTTTGGCCCGTGGACAAGGTTTTGTGGGAACTCACTGAGAGTCTAAACCAGAATTATCTGGAAAATGTAAAAGCATTATAAATAATATAAAGATTTATATAGACACATTTACATGAAATAGCAGTGTCATTGCTGATGTTATTATTGTAGTTGCGTTGCCTTTTAAACATATTTTCTGATTATCTAACCCATACCTGCTGAATTCTAATAACATGGCAAACAGCGAAACACAAAGAAAAGAAAATTGTTTGAATTTTCAAACTCCCCTTCTGTACACAAACTAAAAACTATTGGCATTTTGGTGTACATTCTTTCAGTACTTTTTATACAGATCTATGTATGTATTTTTTCTTTAGAAAAACTATTACAGTAACACATTGTTTTGGAGCCAATGTCTACTTTAGGTTTTAACTTTGCTTAATTGCTTAAATCTTTTTTAAATGCTTAAATCTAGCCACAGCACTTTTAAGAGGCAGCAGTTCTGGGTTCCAGGCTTGTCCCTTCCTGTATTAGCTGTACAATTTTGAGAAAGTTCCTTAAATGTTCCAAAACTCAGTCACTATGTTGCAAAATGAAGATAATAATAGCTAATATTTATCAAACAGGCACTGCTCAAAGTGTTTTTCCTTATTTTATATAAACCTCCCAGGGTTATATTTCAAATAGATGTCATATTTTCTGAACTTTTTGAATGAGGGAAACTGAGGCAGAAAGAGGTTAAATGACTTACCCAAAGTCTCACAGCTAGACAGGAATGGAGTCAAAGGCAGGCAGTCTGACTGCTGTATGGCCCTTGTAACCACTAATGATACTTTTCCTTTCTAAGGCAGAAGACCAGATGTACTTAACTCCCTTCCTGTTCTAGGATCTATGATAAATAGCCTGTGAAATGAACATTTTCCTTATATCATTTTCTTAATTGGAAAAATTCAAACTCAATTTCCCTCAAAGAACTATTTTTTCCCACTTTATTTTATGTTGGGTGAAGTATAAATGTCTTAGAGCTGCATGCATTAGGCTGATTCTTTGCCCAAAGACAACTGGCTTCTTGCTCAATTTTGTATTTTCCAAGCACTTTCACATGTATTAGCACATGTGGTCATAATACATGTTTACAGACACTGCACTGTCAGGACAGTTCATGGTATTCACTACCTGGAAATGAAAGCCAACATTCACAGCCAGAGAAGTTAGTCAGGACTGAACCCAGATATAAAGATTCCTTGTCCAGGCACCACTTTTCTTGCAGGTCTGCCTGTCATGCATTTATTCGTTATTCAAAAACAAACAAAACATGTTTGTCTGCCTACTGTGTATCAGGATACAGCAGTCAGAAAAGGAAAAAAATCCATGCCCTCCTTGATCTTACATTTGAATGTGAAAATTTAATGAATTCATTAGGACTCCTCCAATGGAAAAAGTGACAAAAATAAACTAAACTATATATAAAAAATGATAGGCAGTGATATGTGCTATTTTAGATAAAATGGTTAAGGAAGAACCCTCGAGTAAGTACGAGATATTGGAACTGAGCCTCAAATCTTGAGTAGAAGGCCAAAAACCTTAAGATTAGAGAAAAGAGTGTTCTTGGTAAAAGAACAGCAAAAAAAAATCCTCCAAGCAGAGACAAGTTTATATGCTTGCTAAGATGATGGAGGGGAGCAAGGAAGGAAGGGGGAAGCTAGTGTGACTATTGCACAGTAAATCAGAGAAGGAATTTAAGAGCTTGAAGTCAGAGAGAACTGGGGCCAGGTAATGTAGGAACTAGATGGCCATCATG